TATATTTATAATTATAAAAATTATATTATATTTATAATTATAAATTATATTATATTTATAATTATAAAAATTATATTTATAATTATAATAATTAAAAATATAAATATTAATGAGAAGTCATTTTGCGATTTATTTCTTTAGTTCCTTTAATTTTAATTTCTTCACGTTTATACGTATATTTTATGAGTAAATTAATTTAACAAACTAAATAAAAAAATAAAAAAAGTTTTGCATTGTTGATTAACAGTTTACAATCATTACATATTAAAAATCAATAATTTGCGCGTACTTTGCAAATGCGTGAAAAATTGTTTTGAAAATATGACAATTGATTAAATTCAATAACCATCTTTCATATATCCAAAAGCTTATTAACTAGAATAAAAATTTATTTGAATATAAAACTCCCTTATTTGACACGTATCACTTAAGTTAGACATTCGTCAATAATTTAAGATATGAACGTCAATGTCAATGGAAAAAAACGATTTGTCGCGCCCTGGTTTATAGAAAAATAGTATTTATAGTTTAATCTCGATATCGCTTTAAATAAAATAAAAATATAAAAAATGTATTGCATTTTTCATATTCTATTTGACATTTTTTGTTAAAATAATTTTGAGTTAAAAGCATATATTATGTGTTAACAGCATATAAGATATAAATAGAAACATTTGTATGGCTAACTTTTGTGAGTCTGAATATATGAAGTAAATTTATAAAATTGATAAGTTAATATTTGAGTAACTGTAAAATACTGTTGTAACTTAACTGGTTGTTTTGATTTAGTTTATTAGTAAATTTACTGTAAAGTATTTTATCCATTTAGTAAATCAAAGTAAATATAATTTTAAAAGGTTCAAGGTCAATAAAGGGAAAAACCTTAAAGCAAAAAAGTTGCTGGTTTCTATTAGCATTGATTAAATAATAAAAAAAAAAGATTAATAAAAACAAATTAATATTTATTTTAATATGCTTAAAGTAGTAAAATTAATTATATAACAGTTGATAAAATAATAATTTTAATTATTAATAATAAATTAGTTTGGTGCAATGTTTTAAAAACAAAGATAAAAACCAGGCTGTTTTGTAAAAAAAAAAAATTAAGAAAAAGTTATTTTCAACACTTTTTCCCTTTTCAACCTTTTGTTTTTAACCACTTTTGAAATTATTATTGGCTTCCACACAGTAAATTTAAATTCAAAAGTGCTTTAGGTTGAATGAAAATCTTCGTGCAAATGAGCAAATGATTATTCTATTTAAAATAAATTTAGTGTGACGTACTTTATAGCAAAAACGTTACTTTTAAGAAATACAAAAAAAAAAAAGCTAAATTAGAAAAAAAGTAAATAAACTAAAAAAAATTACAAATCCAGAAGAAAAAAAAATTAAGAAAAAACTAATAGCAAAGGTGTGAAAAGCAATCGCGATTTGCGATCGGGATACACTTAATTCAAGCCCTGTAATATTTTTTGTTTGTAGTATTTTTATTTTTGTTTAACTTAATTTAAAAAGTTATCATTATTCATATTTTAAAAATCTTGTGCTTGAATTAAGGCAAAAAAATCTAATTGCAAAAAAAAATTTTCGAACAATTTTACTACGCCAATATTCCATCTTTAGCTTGCGCATACATGTCATTGATCTCTTATTCTCTATAGTTTCTAATTTTTTGAAATTACTTTCTAAGGCGTCAGAATCTAACAGTTAAAATCTAATGCGATCAACCTTTTCTTTATACTTTATTTTATTTCAGTCAAATTATTTAAAAAAATGCTGCTAAAAAGAAATATGAACAAAATAGTGATTTATATAAATAAAGATTAATATAATAAACATTTTTTATTATATAACTTGGTATAGATTTAAAACATACTGTATATATAGACCAAACGAGTAAGATCAAAACAAAACAAAATTAGATAACACTTTTTTTCTAATTTATTGGTATAGCGTACTATTAAAAATTTAAGTATAAATAATTTTTTTATTCAAATGGTTTTTTAACAATTAACAACTTCATTCAGTTTTTTTAGTTCAAGCTTCTTTTTTTTTTTTTAATTTCAATTGTAAAATTAATTATAAAATATTTTTAAAATGATATTGCGTTTTTCGTATTTTATTTATACAAGTAATCTCACTTGTTAAAATAATTTTTAGGTAAAAGCTTATATTATGTGTCAACATAAGATATAAATAGAAACATTTTGTGAGTCTTTAAGTATGTTAAGTAAATTTAATAATTAAGTAACTTAACTGGTTGTTTTGATTTTGTTTACAGGTAAATTTACTGTAATGTACTTTTAACCATTAAGTAAATTAAATATAACTTAAAAATATGATTGACTTCTACGCTGAGATTTAAGTTGTGAAAACTTTTTTTTAATTTAATGATGGCAGTTTTTTTTTTCAAAAAAATAAAAATTTTAAGCTACTTTTTTTCATCCGTAAACTATTATTTTTTTGGACTTGGTTTTTATTCTTGAAACTAAATTTTCCCGTAATCTCCGAAGAAGATTGCATTTATTTACCAAACCATGTAGTAAACTGAAATTTAAATTTTGTGCCCAAAATGATGCATTTCAAAAATTAGTTTAAACAATGTGTAAACAACAACTATGTTTTAAATACACGCTCTCCATTTTGCAATGTTTAAATTTTTTTTGGATTGTGTAGAAATAATGAAGTGTGTATTTTACAATTTATTTACAAAGCATTATAAATCTACTATTTATAATGCTTTGTTGTTAAATTTTAATACTTCTCATTTCTGTTTTACTGTATTAGTAAAATACCTACGACTTAATTTTATTGGCAGTTAAAGTAAAATATTTTTAAAGCATAAACAGTTTTTCGAATCTTTTTTAAAAAAAAAAATATAAAAAGATGTCATATACCACCAAAATCAGAAGTAAATCAGCTTGTCAACTTAGTAACTTGATTGAAAAAAGTTCAGAGTTTCTTCCATTAGAAATCACTATTTCCAGATTATTCTTAAGTATGGCCTATATTTAAGGGAGATAAATTGAAAATATTACAGAAACTATACTTGTTTTTCAGCTTGTTTTTCTTGAGTTCACTTTGTTGTGGTCAATAATTAAACAAGGAAACACTTGCTTAATTATTGAACACAAAAAAGTTGTGAATTAAAAAAAAAACTGGAAAAGAGTTGACCTCAATACAAACAATGATTTGAGTTGTATTTTTTTTTTTTTTTTTTTATAGGAAAAAAGATGACACTGAATTTTTTTTTTTTTTTGATATTGAGGGGAGAAAATTTCCAGGTTTAATAAAAGAAGAACATTGCATTTTGTGCAGTGAGACATGGTGGAAATTATCTATTTTGTTTTGTTCCTGAAGAATCAGGTTAAAAAAAATCTGCAGAGATAATTGCTGATCATTTAATTGAATGGCTATAGAAAGATGTTTTTTTTTAAGTAACATGTAATTAAATTTTAAACTTTAAAATTTATTTACAACACTGTAATTTACGGTTAAAAATCATTTGAACTAATTTAACAAAAATAACTGATGAGATATAAATTCAGTATTTGAAAATAGTTAAATTTACTTATGATTTATTTCTCAAAACATTCTTATACTTAACATAATCTTTTGTTTATTTATCACAACTTTTTTTTTTGTTTAAATAAAATATTTTTAATAAAAATTATAAACAATTTATAGATTAGTTACCAATTAGATATTCGTAAACATTGTTTATGTTCATAAATAAACTGTCAAAAAAAAATTTACACAATTTGAACTAATGGAGAAAAAAAAAATTAAATCCATTTGTGAAAAGAATTCCCTTAAACTAAAACTCTTCTCCAGAAGAGTTTTAGAAGGAAAAATAAATATTTTTTTGATTTGCTTTCACATATTTTAATGTTGAAGGACTTTGTTAAATTTTTCATTCTATGTTTTACTAGCTATTTCATATTTCTTAAAATCTAAATTTTTATTTTTAAAACCATATTTTATTTAAAGTTTTTCAATTCAATAAAAAATTTGTATGGAATAACCAGTCCATTTAACAAAAAAATGTTTACAACTTAATATTTTCTGAATAAACGTCTCTAATTATCTGAATAAAAAATATTAAAAGATAATTTATTATTCTATATTAATTAATCATCATTTTGTGGGTAAATGCATGATGCATAATTTATTAGGCACTTCAACATCTGAGCGCGTAATATATATAGTTAAGAAGATAATCAATTAAACATGACTAAATATGATAATCAATAAAATATGACTAAAGAAAAAAGATCTGAGGTTTTATGCCTACAAAAATGTTTGAGGTGTATGGTCTTCCATTATTCAACTGATCACATAAAATACAATAACTTTTTATTTGTTTATTGCAAAAAGTAGAACTACAGCTTAACAGTAACAAAAATATTTTTTTATAATTGTAGTTTTAGATAAAATTTGATTTAAAAATTAGGGTCATCTGATAACCCAAATATATTTGAAAGTATTATGTGTTTCAACCCTCGGAATTAGGGTCGACATTTACTACCGACCTGAAAGTGTTTGAGGTCGGCAAAAGTTTGCCGACCTCGTTTCTATATTTTATGGTCAGATCTTTGTATCAAATAATTTTTGCCAACCTGATGCCGACCTCAAAAAGATTTAGGTTGGCAAATTATTGCTGACCTTATCTTTTCTAATTCCAAGGGTTGGTGTTTTTTTGATCTAATAACAAAATAAATTAACATTATGTTACCCTATCTTTTTTCTTTTTTTTTTTTTACTATGATCTTTTAAACCTTTCAGAATTTTAAACATATATATATATATATATATATATATATATATATATATATATATATATATATATATATATATATATATATATATATATATTATAATAATAATAATATATATTATTTTCATTATTATTATAAAATTTAAATATTTAAGAAATGTAGTCTTTTTTTAAATTAATTTTGATTTGTAAATTATTAAAAATGGTGCATATTATTTGAAAGGTGTCAAATTCGGAGAATATTTCACCACAAATACTGCGAGATGTTGCAAAACAGCTTCATTCTCTTCAGTCAAATCCTCCTGAAGGAATTAAAATTTTCATAAATGAAGGTGATCTTACTGATATTCATGCAACAATTGAAGGACCGTGTAAGTTGTTTTTAAAAATTTTTTGTTACAGACCAGAGCTTGCAATAATTCTTTTAAGGTTGCCAATCGATTTAGATTGGATAAATATTTATCAAATTTTAATTATTTCTTTGTGGTTGTGCTATATATTATGCAGCTATATAATATGCTATTGTACTATATAGCCAAATAATGCAAAAGATTTTTGTAAACAAACAATATTTAACAAGAAAATTTTTTTTTTTCAGGGCTTGAATTAAGCACAAAAATAACTATTTGCATGAAATTTTAATTTTTTTAATTAGTTCTACCCCCCTCTCTCTCTCTCTTTTCTCTTCCTTTCTCTGGTTATGCAGTAAGGAAAGTTGCATTAGCACAAAGCTGTGTTTTGTACATTATTTTGTAATTGCTCTTTTTTTTAACATGATATATTTCATATTTAAATATCTCAAAATATTTTTGTTTGGTGGGGTGTAAAATAACTTAAGTTATAATTTATAACTTAAGTTTTAATTTAAAGCCTAAGTTGCAGGTATAATGTAATGTGCAAGTAATGCATTGATACTATTAAGATATTACTTTTAGTTATTGTTTTTACTTAACATAATACTTAAAAAAGTAAAAGTAAAAACACAAGTATTACAATATATAAACCACTTTAAACAGTTATAAAAAACTATTTAATGCCCTGTTCATGCTGATAATTAAACATGATTGATTTTTAAAGCGTATTAAATAGTTATTGTAAAAGGCTATATAAAATAATAATAAAACAATACTGTGGAGTTATTTTGTCAAAAAAAAGCTTGTGTTAGTATAAAACAACTTTGCTATGTTGTCTTATATTAATACAACATAGCAAAGTATACAGTTTATAACATTAAAAGCATAAAGTATCTTAAAAATAATTAAATAGAATTAGTAATAAAATAGAACTGATGAAAATATTATCGTCATAAAAATTTAAAATTAATATTTTAGCAAAACATACTTTATCTAAATGAATAAGATTAAATTTTATGGCATAACTCTGTGGCAAAAGTATAATATGACTTTATTAAAGAAATTCAAATTTCTATATATAAAATATGTTTAAAAATTTTAGATTATAAACATATGGGGTAACATTACTATTATGTTTTCTGAACTTGGTTTACCTACATTTTTGACTGTATTCTTGATTTGAATGTTAGTTTAAATGCAAAACATGTTATTATTTTTTAAATTTATTCTGATTCACTCCCAACTAGGTTGCAAGCAACTATTATTAAGTTGGGGGTTACTAGAAAAAGAAATAGAGTTATAGAGTAAGGAAACAGTTGACAGAAGTGCTTGCTTCATAAGCGAGAAGTTCCAAGTTTAATCCCTACCACATCCATGGTAGTACTGTGCTCAAGTTGTTTCTCAGTGCAGCAGCCTTGTTTGTCAAGGTTCGTGTTTCGGAGTTAAGTTGAGAGAGGGTTGTAGCCACAACTTAAGTTGAGAGAGGATTGTAACCACAACTAAAGTAGCCTTGTCGACTGAAGTGGCCTTCATGGCCTTAAGGAGGTAAAATGAAATTTATAAGAAAGAAAAAAAACTTGAAAGTTGAAGGTTGTATGAGTCAGGAAAATGTAAAGATGGGAGAGAGTTCCAAAGGGTTAAAGTGCAGGGAAGAAAACTTTTTAGAGTGTACAGGTAAATAAATGAGACATTGCTGAATGATGAGAATGAGTTAGTAGTATTAGCAGAAAAGCGAAAGAGATGCAACTTTACGACGGTGGGAAATAGGTTCAAGTTTAGCAGTATATTGGACTTGGTCAAGAAAAGAAGAAGCATCATTAGAAGAACCAGCCTAAATATCACAAAAGTATTCCATACATGAACAAATAAAAGATTAGAGAACGAGAATGGAATCAGGAGTAAGAAAATGTCAAGCATGATAAATAGAAGCAACATAAGCGGATACTAATTTAGCAATCAATTGTATATATGGTTTACATAAAAGATCAATAGGAAACAATAATCCAATAAAATGTAAAGAAAAAGACTTAGTGAAAGAGTTGCCATTTATTATTATAAGAATGTCAACAGTATTGTGATAATTGTTTGCAGTAAATAATTGAGTTTTGTTGGAGTTAAAATTTACAAGCGACTCTGAGCCCCAATCTGCTACTCAAGTGAGATCAGATTGAAGATCAGTTGTTCTAAGTGATTAAAAGAGGACTTTTTGTCATGACAGGGGTATAAAGTTGAGTTATTAACAAAAATAGCCACTTCAGATATAAGGTTGTCTGGAAGATCAATTATATAGAATAGAAACAAAACAAAATCTAGGATAAAACCTTGAGGTACCCCAGAAGTTACTGGAAATGAAGAATAATGTTGGCCTTT